GAACTAGTACGTTTAGTTAGAAAAACATGCTTAATTGTATGCTGCATAAATTCCCATTTAAAAAGAAAACGTTTTTCAAATAAAGTTCTTTAAATGTTTTGTGAGACATCTGGACTTTTTTTCATATATATAAAGGATCTGAAAGGAATTTTGAATCCCAGGTTCCTTGTAGCTCTCACATCTTCATACAAAGGCGGCATATTAGAACGTGTTTGCTGCTGGGAACCGACTGCACAATTACTAAGGTAGTAAAAGGTCTCCTACTAAGTACAGGTTTGATCCGGTAGTGCCTAGGATTTTTGCCTGAGGGTCGCACTTAAAATGACTGTAAATGGCATGCAAGGTGGGGAAGAGCTTTGAAAGACTGTTTCCTCCTCTTACTCTCTAGTGTCTACTGGCTGCATTCACTCCAGCAGTGCCTGTTTCCGGCTGTGGGTCAGGGTATTGGTGAGAGATGGCGTCACGGCCACCCTTCACTTCCTCTGAAAAGAAATTTTAGTCTGTTAGAGTTCCAAAGAAAAGCTTCAAGGAAAAACTGCAAGGAGTCAAAWAATGGAAGACTATTAAAAGAATGAAGAGTTCTTATCATTTAATGTGATATCCCAGAGTAAACCTTCCAATTTTTGATGGACTCAAGCAAAAGGAATGGTCTCTCAGGCTTTTAACTGCAATGTTGTCATCTTACTCCTTACAAACCATGCTCTCTATGGTTTGAAAATCACAGTTGTTTTGACAAATGAATTCTTGTCTAGTGCTGTAGGAAAACACCCACTTGCAACAGGTTTCAGAAGTCCCTGAAAACGYAGGTGACCACCTCCCATAGAAGGTCAATGGCAACCAGGTGTTTAACTCAKATAAGCTCTTCTGTAAATCTCACCTGAAATTCCTGTTATTTTCAATTAAGTGTTTTGCCTGTTGAACTAAAGGATCAGAATTGACTCCTGCACAGTATGTTTCTTATAATTACTCACAATGGGAGACTCTACTCACAGCCAACTGGGAGGCATTTCTGAATCTCTGATTTCTAACATTCTCTACTTTCTCACCCCACAGTAGGAACAGACTGCCTTATACTGCTGACAATTTATGTCTCCTCTGTAACACCCACCTACATAACATCTATGTTGAGCATTTAGGTTCACACTAATAGCCCCTGAGAATCAATTACCATAAGAAGATCCGTTTCTTTACACTTCAGCTGATGAATCAGTCATAGGTTAAAACAGAAGGAGGTAAAAAGCCAGCATGTTTGCACTGATTTTTAAAAAAACTTTACTTACTAAAATACTCTGGATATGGATTAACCTCTTTGTTGTATGCATGTTCAGTTACCGTTTTACCTGCCTTAAAATAGCTTTTCATAGATGAATTAGGCAAAAAAAAAAAAAAAAAAAAGGATTCAAGGTGAACTGTATTTTTTATACACTCATTCCAGTGTAGTTTTGTGTCCTTGTGCAACAATAGGATACAGTCTGTTTAACTGGCACACCCTGGTGGAAGTAAGTATGATAGCAAGCTGCTTGCAAGCTGAAACCGACCCCAGGCTTTAATTATTTTGCAAAGATGGTGCAAAACGGCCTAAGGAGAAATACAGAAGTATCTTTTCCAAACTGCAATACCTGTTTACTTACAAACCTGGAGAGAGTCCTGCCATGAGGACTTTGCTCTTCCTCACAGTCAGGCATCTCTGGGTCCTTGTGAGCACCTTGCCCTCTTCCTAGAAAGCTTTTGATGACGGAAGTTCTGCAAAGACTAGTCCCTTCTACCCTTTTCCAAAGCTTCTGCCCACGTACAGCTCTCTTCTCTGGAAAGAATCTCATATCTTTCTGGATTTGTGTTTCATAATTTAATAAAAGTTTTAAGGATAAAGTAATGACTTGAATATTCTTCCTCAAATTCAAGAGTGTATCATCTAGAGTAGATCTCAAAACTCAAAGATATTGCCAAACACCTTCTTTAAGCCTTTTCAAAATGCTGTTTCAAAATACCTTCTCACCATTGCTAATCAAATTCATAGTAATATTGTTTACTAAAAGAAGCCTTTCTTTCATATCAGGTTCTCTGTACCTMCACCTCTCTCCCTCCAACCTTCCTTGTACTTAGGCCCTGCCAATCTGAGGTCTTTAACACGGCAGCTAAAGCTGTTAAGGATTCTGGACACACCAAAATTAGGGTTGTGGGAGCAGAACAGAGTAACTCTTGGGAACAGTGAGTTCACAAGTGATGTTTTCCCTGATACATAGTTTCCTACAATAAAGAGTGAGCCCCAGGTTCTGTCCCTTAGCTGYAGGCAGCAAGGTACCTTTCTAAATAGAAAACTGTAAAGAATTATCACCTCTTTCTAGAAGGAGAAAATCCCTRATTAGAAAGGAAATGAGAATAACTTGGATATTGACTGACAGTACAATCTTCCAAAAAAACTTTCTAACCTGTGATTTTATCATGTATGTACAGYGGCAATAGAGACAATGAATAAGCAAAGATGATTATCACGAAATATTGGCAAATACTTCCTAAGCAAAAGCAAAATTACTAAGACACCAGGTGAAAAAGCACTGAAACTGTTCACCTCGCAACACTTGAACTCTTCCTACTTCACAGTAAGAAGATGATTTATTGGGATTATTCCATYTTTTTGGAAGAACACCCACTTCAACTTAATTAAATATCCTGAAAAGTATTTTGTAAAAGATCTGTATTATTAATGTTAATGCAAGACAGCATTGTTATTTACCATCTGAGGTATTCATATCTGAGCAGCATTGTTTTTTACAATTTCCATCTGAGATGTGTAGAAATCATCTGAGTTTCACTCAGTGCTACAGCTTCACAGCAATTTACAAATTACAGATCCTTATTTCAGGAGTGAAAATACTTTATTTTCAATTTGCTTTTCTCTTTCCTTTTATATTGCCCTCCATATTAAAAAGAGAAAAAGAGAAGTTTCATGGTCAAACTTTTATCCTCAGTTTCATGTATGTAATCCTGGTGTATGAATGATGTATAGAAGACATAAATCAAGTTTCTCTTCGGAATGAAACCATGGTTAAGAAGAATTTCAGAAATATCTCAGTCACCACAGTCAGTAACATCTTTGCCCCTGAAAGCACTTGTGGGGCACATCTGGTAAAAGAAGATTACACTTTTTCTATAAATCCTTTCTGGAGTGAAATCACAATTCAAATAAATAAAGCAAGGAAGCAACCTAACGTGAATAGGTGTTTTACAGACCAGAGAATTTATGATGGCAGGAACCAAACTGCAACATTAAGCAGACAGTGTTCAGACAGCACCATGTAAAGCATGGAGGCACTGTAGCTGCGGCTGTCCTGATAACAAAGAAACTTTGCAAGGCACAGTGTCCTGTGAGCTTCCTGCCAGCTTTCCTGTATTGACATGCAGAAGCCGCGCTGTGATTCCACTTAGAGACTCATGGAAAAGTTCTGTCATTGTAGTTGTTACGCCCTGGTGAGTGGACTCCATTTTATTCCCCAATCAATGAGCGAAGAGTACGCTCCCAGAGTGCTTTGTCAAGATGTAACCTGTATCTTTGCTGCTAAGCAGTATTGTATTTCTGCTTCTAATAAAATTAAAAAACTCAAATAAACCATTAATGTATTGCCTGTTAGCTGTAACTTTCTTGTTAACTTCATTTTCAAGGGGAAAAAAAAGCTTTCAACAGTTGTTTCTCCACAAAGGGTAAATCCTTATATACTTGTCTTTGTATTATACTACTGAGTGTTGACCAAATCTAAGCAATTATTAACTATGTGCCCCTTTGTAAGGATTTCAGTCTTCCTAGAAAGTTGTGTTCCCCTACATTCCATGGGCTTGCTCCAGAGTCCATAGAGTCAACTGGACTTATTCAAGTGTGCTGTGGTCTGGATTCCGTGTGCCCTGGTTATTTGGCATTGTTAGTGCAACTACATTYCTGCAGTCCATGATTCTTGTGCCACATCTTCCCATAGTACAATTTCTGATTCATCTTTCCAGAACTTATTTGCAGGTGGTCTCATTCACTTTTTCACATTCTGCAAGTTGAATTAGCTCATCTTTACCTTGATGATCACACATGGACATGGGTTAGTTTGGGTCCTGGAGACATGTTAACCTGTGGTTACTGGCTTGTGTATCTGATCCCTGACRTTTTCTCATACTAGAGCAATTCAGTAAAGTAAAATAAATTTTCACATACTTACTGTATAATTCTTCTACTTTTTWAAAAATAATTTTTACCATAGTTATTTGTAGTTACCATTTGTTATTACCATAGTCTTACAGTGCAGGTCTACTTTCCTTTGGCCACAACACTCAGCCATGTCTTAGCKGAAAACAATAAAATTTAGTCCTCAGGACTTCTTATTCCCCAGCCATTCATAAATGCAGAAACTCCTTTTTTGATCTTATCACTTCTTCACAATACTGCTGAAACACATATTTAATGTAATAAGGGGTATTTTAAAATAACATAAATAAATGGGAAAACAACACTACATCACTTTAAGTGCTCCTAACTGGAGCTCATGAATGGTTCACAACAAATAGGAAAGATACCATGTATATATATAAATCATTTGTGAAACAGAGTTAAAATTAATGACAAAGTTGAGTTCCATTTGTGGTTAATTTTCAATTAGACGCACCCAAGAATAAAATACTTATCAAAGATAGCTACCAATTAGTTTTTAATTCAAAACATTTCCAGAAAGCAKTTCTCAAATCTCTATTGATATCTCTCCAACAACCTCTTAATTGTAGCAAGTTGGTGGTAAAGAAAAAAAAAAACCTACTTTAAATGAGAGAGATGTATTCCGTCTGCTGGAGCACACAGTATCCTTTTCTTAATTACTGCCAGGATTTCCCCTACACCATAAGCTTCCTCCAAAAGATTATATATAGACAGATATGTGTGTGTGCGTGCACATGTGCAGGCACATAGACGTATGCTTGCAGGAACACACCAGAATCTCTCTACCAAAATCTATCCTTTCTCCACTTACCTGCATGAGGTAGAAACAGACAGATCCCATTATTCTGCCTCCACCTAAGGTGAGGACACAGTCTTCAACATTCAGCCTAGTCCCATCTATCTTCCTCTGTGCACAGTCAAAATGAACTCACACTCTCCTGCACAGCCCAAAAAAAAAAAAAAAGAAAGAAAGAAAACTGAAGCCCATCCTGCACAGCAAGAATGTCGTCCACATGCTATCAGATGGGAGAACTTGCAAATGCTATTTAATTTATACATTTCAAGAGGGAATTTCCAAGCACATTATCATCCATGTCCTTCAGACCTGCAAAATCATCAGTACTGTATCCAAGACACAGTAGAAATGATCGTAAGGTGACCATGTTCAGCACTGAAAGCCCAAAACACCTTTCTCCAGTGGAGACTTAAAACCAAAACACTGCCTTCTTAAACCATATAGCTCTAAAAATGCTGAAGTCTTCTGAAACAGGTTTTAAAGAATCATCTGGCAGTTGCAAATATGGTTATATTGCAAATTCCAGACTGGGTAGAATACTTTCACCAAACTACCAGGGAAGATGAGTAAGTGAACTGTAAAGGAAACAAAYGATATAGGAAAGGATATTGCAGAGCATCCTCTGCAAGCAAGGACTGGATGTAAAATTCAGCACGGAAGGAACACAACATATTTAATAGCTGGCAGCATGATAAAAGCAGTCTGTTTTACACAGTTCTTGAATGTTTTCAAACATAATCTAAAATAATTTCAGACAATGTACCTCCTGGCATTCCTTAACTTACACAAAGACTGCACGAGATAGGTATGGTGGGCAGGTGAGAGTAAAGGATTATACTATGTATACTATGACCAGTTCCCAAATAACTTACCTGAAAGATAAACTGCATGTGCTCTGAAGCAGTATGCATATGTAGACAAAAGAATTCTRTAAATACTATAGCAGTAAATAAACTTTGTTACACTGCTTTTTAACATAATATAGCTGTTCTATCTTCCTTAGAAATTCAGTCTGGAAATGCCTTGGTTTTCTCAAAAACACTCCTGTGGAGTCTGGCATCTTCAGTAGATATTAATTCTGACAATTTTTAAGAACTCAGATTCAGTGTGTTTGTGCCAATAAGACACCACCTTGTTCTTCTCAGTTTATTTTGCAAATTCTGTTTTGTTTTCTGTACTTAGGAAATGCCTTTTTAACTGTCAGAAAACACAGTAATTACATGAAAGGATTTTTACAGACTGTTTATTTCTGCTTTTTTGGGGGGGGAATTAAGAATGCAGACATTCATAGTCTCTGACAGAGCAACTGAACAGAATTAGGAGGTGTCAGCAGATTCTCTGCCACAACAGACTAGATCATTCTTCCTTTCAAAGAAACTGTAAGGCTCTCATGCCATGCTCTAGCTWCCCAATATCCTACTTGCTTCACTTGGTTAGGAAGGTTGTCAAAGGAGTGCAGATGTCTTCCCTTCCATATAAGATCAGCTAAGCAGTAAAGCAGCAACATCTGCCTCTGGCTCATAGCACCTGCAGATGCACATGACTGCTTCAGCGATGGATTCCGCTTCATCCCATTATACAGGTAAGGTCAGCAATGGAAGCCAGAACTAAACACAAACTTCCATGAGGTTTTGGATTTTTCAGTGTGTTACAAGCCAAGCTGCCTTTAGGTTTTCAGTATATGTAGCAAATACTGTTATGGAGCCAAAGAAACACTTGGACCTTTTCAAGGGAAAGGTACACTACCTCTTAGCAGAAACAAAACTTATCAGCTATTGTGGCAGGCACATGGAAAAACAAATGAGAGGTGGAGCTGCCTCTAGCAAGTATTTTTTGTCTCTCATCAGAGAAGCATGGTCGGAATARTTGCTCTGACAAAGACCAGCAGCTCCAAGATCAAGATTACGACACATACCAACAGGCCAGAGAGGGAAATAGCTCACTTAGAGACCTCCCCTCTCATCCCCCCAAAGAAAAATCACTTGTAGTTGTGACTATCAGTCAGCCAAGGAACTACTGTCCCACCCGACTATTATACTGCATCTACAAGAAAGACACAGAAGTCACACACCAGTACCCGCAGCAATCCCCATATGCTAACTTTATTAAAATCATATTGTGCTTTTTGTTGTCACAGATTTTTTTATCTGAAGGAAAGTGTCCTCTCCCGGATGTTTTCTTCCCCCATTTCCCTTTTATGATGCTTAAGACTCTGCCTCCTCCTTCCTGTGGGTAATTGAAAAAAAACAAACCCACAAAAAAGGTCATCATTCCATCTCTGCTTTGTCTCCTGCTATAATAAAATGATCTTCCTTTATATTGTACTTTTATATGCTTGACAGCTATGCTTGACAGTTAGTAATAAAACTCTAGTTGTAATCTGCTTTCAGTTAGAAGAGTCATCTCGAAATCCTTTGGTATTCTTGTCAAAAATAATAATTGCTCATTGTCAACATTAACCCCTTGAGCCTGCAGATCCATCATTCCCTTTGCTCAACTTAACAAGCATCACTGCCTGCAACTGTCCGTTGCCGAGGTAATGGATGGGACCTTGTTGCCATTATAACCATTAGGTCCTCTTCCAATAGCAATTCATGGTGATATTTCCTAGAAATGGTTCAAAATATTTTCACCCAAGGCCCCTGTTTAAGTAAAAACAAAAGTCTCTTGCTAAATTAAAATAACACACAAAATTTCTGCTTAAGAAATGTGAAGTACACTTTTAATCAGAAAATATATAACCTCATTTTTTAAACTGATCTCTTTTTTTTTGCCAGAAAGTCAGATCCGAACACTTTATGCCATATACACTATTTAGGGCAAGTGGGATGGTGGCTGTGGTGAACTTTCACAGAATTTCCCATAAAAATGTTTCCTGGTCAGTTCCTTATAAGCGAGAAATAAATCAGCACCTGGGTACTGGAGGTTATCTGTGCTACAAGCAGAAAGCTGGGGATGTGGTAGAAGAATGGAGCACATTAATAACAGTATCTTTTTGGAAAAAAAAAATCCTTAAGACAAAAAAAAAAAAAAAACCTTATAGGAGCTAGAAATCCAGTCATTCTATGGAATAAAACACTGTGAAAGATGCCGATGAAATTTCAGTCTGCGAAACACAGCACAACTAATTTGTTTCCTCATCACTCCATTTTATTCACTCCTGGGCAAACTGATTAGAAAAGGTGCTTTCATTAGAAAGGTCCTTTCATTAGGAAACAAGAAGCAGCTAACAACAAGAAATGTGATTTTCCTAGGATCATGTGACTTGTCTTGCAACCTATTTCAAACACATTTTTGAAGTGTACTCTCTAGTTACATTAAGTAAGCCACATGCAAAATCAGGGTTGTGCAATGCTGGGATGGGTCACTCAGTGATAAGGTAGAATCATTCTTCTATGAACATTTTAAGAAAAAGCTACACAAGCAACTAATGGGGATAGCAGGTGAACCTGCTTTGGCTGTGAGCTGCTGAGATCTTGTCTCCAGGAGCTCTCTAATTCTCTATTCTCCAAATCTGTGCTGTTCCATCAGAGTCTATGTCTCCCCCCTACACTCAGTTCAGGCAGACACAGTCCTTGCAATAAAGACTGTACATATTTCTCAATGCTACACAGGTACTTGGCCTTTTCAGCATGTGATCTCCAAGACTCAGTCTTTGACCAAATTCTCAATCCTTCAGAAGCTCTCTAAATTTCAATTATCATGCAAAAGGGTTATCCACAGAAATACAAACTGTATTAAAGGAGAATGTTGTATCATGCTAATTAATAATTTTGCTACAAGCTTACTCACTCAAGCAACTCCAGAAAACTCAATATCCCAGTCCAATTTCTAGTTTGGTATTCKATCTAGCATTATGACATGCTTCTGTGAATTGGGGATAAACCCTAGAAAAGAGCAAGTAATGTAAGCCAATCGTCCCCAACTACTAAATGGAAATTTTCAGTAAATTAGTTCTTAATCATKTTTAGTCATCTCTTAAATAAAACCTCCCATAATCATCTTATTTACAAGGACGTAAAACTTATTTTTATCTGCAAATACCTATAAAAGTGCTGATATTAGTTACTAACAAGTTAATCCTCTATTAGTCTTCCTGGGTTTGAGTAAAATAGCACAAAAATCAGTTTCAGATYATGAAGAGATGAATCATGAGTCATATAAATTGCTTCCTGACTTTGCCTGATCACACTAATACCTCTACGGAAGTGTAAAATTCAATCCCTCTGTCAGCACATTCTGAATCCACACCACTTGCACTGGTCACAACTGCTGTGAGCTTTACGGGAAGGTGCCGAGTCACTGTATCTACAGCTGAGCACAACACCGTGCTGGTCCTGATCCTACCAGACATCTCAGTACACAATCAAGCMACTGTAGTTTTATCAATTTTCTATTTGAAAACAGAAAGCAAATGTCTTAATAAGGATATGTCCTTTATAAGGAACTCTGGCACTTATAATACTGAGGCAACTAACACATRTTAACAACGTAATTTGGCCTAAAATAGCATTTATATTGTATAGGAGGGCAATATGCATGATTTGATGTTTAACATCCAAGTGTAAATTTCTGATCTTACTTTTATTTAAATCACAGAATGCTTAAGGTTGGAAGGGACCTCAGAGGTCATCGAGTCCAACCCCCCTGCTCACGCAGGGTCACCTAGAGCACGTGGCACAGGGCTGCATCCAAGCAGGTTTTAAAGATCTCCAAAGAAGGAGACTCCACAACCTCTCTGGGCAGCCTGTTCCAGCGCTCTGTCACCCTCACTGCCAAGAAATGTTTCCTTAAGTTCCTGTGGAACTTTTGGTGCYTCAGCTTGTGGCCGTTTTCTCTAGTCCTATTGCTGGCCACCACTGAAAAGAGGCCGCCCCCCTCCTCCTCACTGCCTCCCTTGAGGTATTTATACACACTGACCAGGTCCCCCCTCAGCCTTCTCTTCTCCAGGCTGAACAGGCCCAGCTCCCTCAGCCTTTGCTCATAGGGCAGATCTTACATACCCACTAAATGAGGCTGATGGATCCAAAAAAATCCAGACACAGATGAAAACTGAAAGAAAGAGCCACATTTGTTAATTCCTCTCCTCTTTGAGCCCAATTCCTCTAGTACTGGCTGCATGAGAAATCTTCCTGTATCGCC